CTCTTACAGCAAATACGAGGGGTGAAAGAAGCTGGACTATAAATGAGGACTGGGCCTCAGATTAGTCTAGTTGTAGTCAGAGGCTTATTTTTATTAATTTGTCATGCTACAAATGCCACACTACTGTTCTGTTCCTTAGCAGATATTCTTCTGATACTGSAATATTTTCTTCCTTAYGGTAAAGTGTATCTGATTGAGCCAATTTATACMGACAGCTTTCCTAAGTTAACTTCTCTGTGAATTCCCAGTTCATTTAATATATTTTCCTCATGCTTCCCCCATTTGAGTTACCTTTGTTCTGTGTCTGAAGGATAGGAAGCTGAGAGTTATTTTATATTTATATTTCAAGGCTGCTTAATGTTTAATGAGGCTGAATATGTTGTAAAAAGCTTCAGAACACTCAGGCTAGTTAATATTTTATGTCGATCTACAGAGACAACTATATTGATCTTTTAAGCATCTGCTAAACAAGACAAGGAATAAATTAGATTTTGGTCAGTTTGATTTGGCTGGTGAGTTAAATAGCTTTTAGAGCATTATCACCTTTTAAAATGTTTTGTTTCCAGTTGAATAAAGTAGATTTTAAAGGCAGTWTTTCATGTCGTTTCTCATCGCTCTTCATCTTGMCTGTTYCATTTCAGCAGTGTTTGTGTATATYATGAAGGGATGCAGGAATATAAGGAGAGGATGTTTGCACTGTCTGCTTTATGCACCCATAATTGTACCTTCTGAAGTCACAGTTGAAGGGGCCCTACTTGTCTCTATTGACTGCATTTTGGACACAGGTTCCCACTATTAAATATTGGGAAGGTTTGAGGGGTCCCAGAAATATTACATCTGTACTGTCAACTGAATTTAAAACTTAAGGATAAAGAAAAGCAAAGAATTGATATAAAATATTCTAAACTAAGAACAGGAATGAAGAKAAGCTTTTGGTTTTGTTATAATCCAGGATACCTCTCCAGCCACTCTTTTTCTTTCATTCCTGCATTTCTTTCATTCTGTGGAGTTTCCTTGTGAATTCACCTTTTAAGAAAGATGCTCCCTAARGTTTAAAAATTACTCATTTACATGTTACTACGTAAAGATTTCAGCAAGTTTTAACCATCTGAATTCTGCTGCACCTCTCACTTGATGGGTTCTTAGCTAGCATTCCTTCCTTTTGTCTCAGCAACCAAGGCCCTGTGTGATGCAGTGAAAGCCATGTCAGAATTTCAGATGGATTTAAAGCTGGAGGAGGGCATTGGGAGTAATTTGGGGGGATGTATCTAACCTGTCAATCTATCAATACTATTTTTTGTGTGTCTTATTATCTTACAGTTGATCTAATGATAAAAGTCACCCTTTTTTTTTGTCTTCCTGAAACATTAAATTTACTGTTTTTAACCCAAGCAGAAGGTATGTCCTGAGAAGTCCTGAGAACATTGTGTTGGAACTGTGTTGGAACTACAGTTACAATTGTTTGTTTTTTTTTCTCCCTTCCTTAGTTTTTCCTTGGCCTTGAGAGCAACTTGAATCATCACTTGAAGTGGTGGGATTAACTTGAATCACAGTGGTGGGATTATCAACTCCTGTGTCTGWGACACCATCCACAAAAGCACCAAGGAGCCTCACTGAGGACTTCAAGGTATGTCTTCTAATTTTTCATCTTTTGTACCCCCACTGGTCCTTTTTAAAAGCTGTCAGGCTATTCCTGTATAAAGAAAATATTTCTTAAGTGTCGCAATGCATATCTAAATTCTTGTTGATATGATGAAACATTGTCATTTCTAATGTATGTGTCACTCCTAATTAGTACTCAGATTCAGGATCATGCCATGATTTGTTCTATACAGCTGGCCTRGAATTTCAGGTACSTGGTAGTTTCAGACCACAAATGTGRCCAACTTTACAAATGTGAGGCCAACTAAGAAACACAAAAATACTAAAAAATTCAAAAGTTAGCCAACTGGACTATATTTGGACCTTTTATGATTATGAAATTCTTCCACAAGGAAAATGACTAACATKCAGTATATGAAATGGAGCCAACACTTGTGCTGAGGATGGATATCCCTCAATTATCAATAGGAACAGTAATGCATACACAGGATAATTGTATTCTTGTCACTGCCATAGTGAAGAAAGGCTCCCATCTGTTGGAGATATTTTACTTTATCCTGTGGAGAGGCAGAATGCAGGTGTGAAACTCCCTGCTGTTTCACATACACATGCATGCTCCCTGTTCAGTGTTTAACACYAGGGGAAAGCTGGTAACCTGTTCTTATGAGGTTGCTTTGAAATTCATCATGACGGGATAATCCATACAGCACTTGAGTTTCAGGSACATCAGTCTTACTGGTGCCTGAAACTTCAGAGGAAAATAATCCTAAATTCTCCCTTGGTAATTATTGAATATGGTTAATATGCTCCTTGCTGGACAATGGAGTTGTTGAATGGAATATAGCACACACTAAACTGGAGCGATGAAAAGAGAAGTGGTGAATGCTTCCAAGTGCTCAACTATAAGCCAAGWCAGGTTTTGTAAAATTTTTAGTTATGAAATCTTTTTTGTAGATCCTTCTGTCAATCTGTAAAACTCACATCATTTGCTAAGACTGATGCCACCACCATCACTCAACAAAATGCCTCAGGTTCCTTGCACAGACCAGAAAGACTTTACACACTGTCTTCCATGAACTAGACTTATACCCTTAACTCTCTCACAGGACTATGAAAATCAGTCTAAATTCCTAAATGTTAGTGCTCAGTAGCAATAAGGAGATCAGGATCTGATGGTTAGAAGGTTATTTCTGACCTCCAGTCCCACCACCCCATTGTTCTGCTTAACTGTGGGTGGCCAAGGACTTAGACTAGTTCTTGCTCTCTTAGAACCCGGAATTCACGTTAACTTCACTGGGATCAGGATCAGCTTCTGCACTGCAAATAGTAAAGCATTATGCAACCATTGTAAGGTACTTGTRTAAGTGTAAGGAGAGCAGGATGGGYTGTGATCCCCTTTCCTCAGGGAGTTATGCACAGTACCTTTTATTGGAATAGGAGATAGATTCAACCTGATTGAATCATTAAATGGAATTATAAGACAATGAACATAAGMCACTTAGCTCATTTCATATATTCCAATAATTAAAACTGCATGGGCAATAATAATGGCTATTCCAGCTATCTAAGTAGGAAAAAATGCACCTTTGATGTACTGTGGCACAGGCATAGTRAAAACACTGAGTTAATGGAGGATCTATGTAATAAGAGTTACCATACAGAACCTGAAGTTGGAAATATATAAACATGCTTCCCAACAGAATTTCATTGTGTCACAATTGATTAAGAAAATCGGCAATAACTGACAAGATAGGCACAAAATGGATTTTCATGTTGCTGGGATGAAGTATGGCTCCCAGCAATTAATAGTTTTAGTCATATTAAGCAGATAAATAATGCTATCTGACATTACAGTATTTCACATTACACTAAAATTTTGTAACGTTTGCTCATAATAGGAGTTGAAATATGTTACCTAGGAAAAAAAATGTTATCTCTGGAACAGTCAAACCCCATTAGAAACCTTAGGCTTGAAAAATCACAATGTTAACAGTTATATCCCCTAGCAAAGGTTTGCTTTCCTTAAATAGTGTTAAATTTAAACCCAGAAGCTCTAGTCTCTTTTGGAGTTGCTCTTCTATAGTGCATTGAGCTTGAAAGGGAAATTTAGTGCATGGAATGTACTGTGCCATTACTGAATGTTGGTAAGAGGAACACCATGAACTGCTGAAAGAGGGGAGCCTTGAAAATAAAATCACATTAGGGATACTCATGTTCTCTAAAAAATGGTTTCAAAATTCTGCTCTATTAAAAATGCTTCTAATCTTAATATAACCCAATTACCTGTCATTGATAAATAATTTGATTAAACCTCATTCTAATTGACATGTTTACCTTTTTCCTAGCTTAATATGTGCCATCCAAGTACCGTTCTCTTGAGGAAAAAAAGCTTTTTATGGATCTAAATTTTCAGCTACTGTTTACATGAACAACTSTGATTTCAGCATTCTTGCTCACGTRAGTATAGTTTTATCCTGGAAAATGCCACTGTGTTCCAAGCACTAACAGAAATCAAGAACAAATGAGAACATGATTTTTCTCTTGCGTGCTGCTAATTCTGTTCCAAATTCATTTAGTAATGTGGAAGAAAATGTGATTGCTTGTCAAAGCACAGATGTGTTTTTTTGTTGGGACAGTGCACAGTGCATTTGGAAGTGTCATGTTTAGCTAAGGGCAACAATGCTTAGTGTCTCAGCACCCAACTCCCACTGAATTTCAACAAGAGTGAGCAAACAACCTTCCCCTGGGCTCCAGTGAAAATCCTTGGCTTAGTATCCAGTCTGAGCTGCAGTTTCACTTGCAGGAAACAAGATGATTTTTGAGGTCTTTTAAGRTATTGTTTCCTGGAATAGCAGAAGCTATAATCTGAGTACATTGAGAGTACCGAAAATCTGTTAGCAAAATATGCTAGTTTGATAAAGATTGTCAGGATTATTGAATACAATAAACCTTTCCAAATTCAAGCCATGAACAAAATAATCATTTACATATGCCAAGATACAATTTTATTGCTTTTCAGATAACACTGCATTTAGGCTTTTATTTAACTTGAAGATACTGTAAAAGCAAAACCAGTTCACTTTTATGGCATTTGCCCTACTTTATGTTAGTGGAAGAGGTAGGGATTTTTCAGAGACATTGCTGGCCGTGTCGTAAGTGTACCCCAAAAGCTTAGTAGTGGTGCCAGCAAGCACAACATCTCTGTCAGACTCTGCAATCTAGATTTAACTATCTTCAACTGCAAGATGTACAATATTTCTCCACAGTTCTTCTATGACACTGTTTACAGAGGTCACAGTTCTGCATTGTCTCCTGATGATTTTCACTGAGGCTTGGTTTTGTGCTTCACATCATCTCTCTCAGCTAATCTGTGTTAGTTTTATTGCACCTTCACAGTATCAAAAAGAAGTATTGGTTTTATTGTGCTTATTTTAAAACCAGTACATTTAAAAATAACCGAACTTATCTAAGTTAAGTATATAAAAATATACATGTAACAACTCACATTATACAAAAAAAAAGGAAGCACCTGTGGAAATTTCCCCCTCTTTTTTGGAAGGAGAGCTGTCAGTAACACGTACTTATAAGTATATACATACAAACCCAGAAGTTGAGCCACAAAAATCTGTTCTTATGTAGCAGAGGAGACAGAAGGCYCAGAGGGGTGATATGTCTCATTCTTTCTCCATCACAGAACTGCTGCCATTCACACTGTGTGAACAAGAGTACGGCTCGGGTAAAGTGCGAAAAGCAGGAGATAAATTATGCTCCATGTGGCACAATTCCTCCCAGGAAGCAGCACGCCTAACAGCCCACAAAGAGTTGTACCACAAAGAGTTGTACGTTACCCTGCTGGCAGGAGGAGAAGCTGCTACACTGAACTCTGCAGCCCTGGCTGGGAATGCCAGGATTGGGCCCCAGTTCTGTTCCTGMACTGTGCTGGGGTCAGGAAAAAGGGCCACCTGTGCATGTTGCACTGGTAAAGCAAAAACCCAAACTGGGACACAAACTTGTAGAGACAAAGCTGCTGGCAAATTATTCTCTGGATAGAAGGCTCAAACGGTTAACTCTAAACTGTTAACATGCTATTAAAAAAGACAACTAAATAACTTAAGTCAGTTTAAACATTAAGTTTCTTTCTAATCCTCACTATGGTAAWAACAGGTATTTGAAGAAAATATTTYRCTATTAAAGAACTTTGCAATTAYGCTTTTAGAAATGCCTTTTTTTGTGTCAGGCTCTAACTTATTCAGAAAAGTTACCTTTTGAATTTTTCAAAAATAAAACTGTAGCAATTATATACTGTATTTAACCATGTGAAAAGAGTAAAAAAGCTATTTCTATGTGGTTTCTGAGGTAATAAGCTGGCACGTTAAAAATAATATTACTGCAAGTCATTCAGTTGTGAGTGTCCCTTGCCCATCTTCCCTCTAAGAGGGGATGGACACGGTGATTTCAATAAAGTGGAGAAAAGATGTGTGRTACACTGTGTCATAGTTCATCGTGGTTTCTTGTGAGGTCCTCCCCATAATTAGTAGCTTGACTTCCAACGAACATATTCCAGTTGTCTAGAACCTCCTCTTTCGTTAATTTTTGATCCTGGTAGGAGGAAAACAAAATTTACGTGAGAGTATGTTCAAAGCTMAGTCAAAGACACACCAGCACAGACTTCCCCCTGGGAAACAGTTCTTCATGGCAGCAGACTGCAGRTTCAGCAGTCCTTTGTAGCTGTCATGGTAAGTGAAATTTGGACTTCAGAGGAAAGCAGAAGTCCCACAGGCTTCAGTTGGGTCAAACTGCTCATGGCAAGTCCTTTGTAAGGAACTCACTGCCAAGCAATAGGCTAACAGTGGATTATCTGGTACACACTTTTGACTTGTGGTTTGGTTCATGTTCMTGATGGTAAAAATGGAAATTCTCTCGTGTACTTTGCTGAAGATGGTTGCTTATGATAGCAATTTACACTCCCTCTGTTAGGAGTATCTTAGCTTTTCATGTTTCAACTGTGCTTGAAATTAGATCATCATTACAGATACATCAATTAATTACACTTCTGATGATCAGCATCTGTGATCTCCTGTCCCACATCAGAGCCAGTGTTTAAGCAAAATGTATGTGCCTGATAATAGAACTGAGAGTGGTTTTGCTACCCCCAGTCTAAATGAAGCTTTATTTTCCTCTTACARTCTGTATTAACRTAYAAAAGTCATRAYCMCTCTTACAGGAAAAAGTATTTTTGCTGGGTTAAAATGYCCAGGTTTAAGATGATAGTTTGTTATCTCACTTAATGAAAGCCAGAGGAACTTCTAGAGTGATAAACTATATTTTACTACTTCATGWTTCTAACACTACCAGCTGAAACGGGCATGGAAACATTCATGTACTAGCAATTCTAGCTTCTAAAGAGAAGGTATTAAGAATAAATTCTTGCAAGCTGGTATTTAAAAAAAACCCACACCACTTTATACACCTTCTTTATAAACTATACTGGAACACTACATACCTTGTCCACATCAGATTCGTAGACCAAGTGTCGAGCTTCAGCTAGTGCATGATCATAGTCTTGGGGGAGGATCCAGTGCTGGATCTCATCTTTGTCCATCTTTCCATCCTTGTTGAGATCACGAAAATCTGAAAACTGTTCACGCTCTGTAATCACCCAGTCAGGCTCTGGTCCACCCTCTTCATTTGCAAACATATCAGCTGGAGAGGAAATAAGGGTCTTACTTGAATTGTATTCACTCTGTAAATTATGCACCAACTACAGATATTTGCACAATGTTCCTCAGAGGAGACTGAACTTTTCACTCTTTGCCCAGTGTACCTTTGTACAGAAAACAAATGCAGGGTGTAAACAGAGCAGCTATCTTCTCTTAAGCCTATTTCTTCACTGCTGGTGATTCTGCCCATTCTCACATTACCCTGCATTGTACCTGTGCACTGCTGCTGAGGCTGACAGGAGAGGTGAACATGTTCAATGGCCATCAGCAGAATTTCAGAATGAACCAAATCCTCTRAGGATCTTTGGTTAAATAGCAGTCATAAGCTTTAGTGCTAGGCTCAGTCACATGGGGAGAAAGGAGCTCAGCCATTTTATCTTGTCCCTGCCAGCAAATGTCTTTSTGGATAAGATCAGACTCCAGCCAGCAGAGAGTGATTAAAGGAAAAAAGGCACGGGGGAATTTAGGCAAACAAAAATTGCTAAATGGAACTTGCTTGCTTTTGTACTGCTTTTAGAGAAGTCTGTGTAAGAGACATTCAGCTTAGCAGATCAGTTCTCTTTTAACTGTGCAGTGCTGCAGCATATTCCAGTAGAAGATACTTTCCCACAAAGACAGACGAAGGGATTTAATTTTCTGCWGGTTTCTTAATCCCAATTTCATCAAAATTACATTTGAAAAAGGGAAGTAGGAATATTTTAAGCAGTTTTCTCAACTCATGAAGAAAACTTCAGACAACACATTCACTTTCTTTTCTCATTTTTAAAAGAGCAAATTATATTGTTTATTTGAAGCAACTGACATGTCCTGTCAATTTGATTTTTATCATCCTTGCCAATGTGGGGTGATCGTGACTAGAACATTCTATGTTCCTATCTATAGAAGACAAGAAAAACCAGCATTCACATGGTAACAAATGTTGACAATTACCTTATAATTATATGTAGGTAATGTCACTGAATGAACTGAAATTACTGTGGAAATTATGCTGCTCTGTTATTTCAGTCATAGATGAATAGCATTCACTTTCTGGGCTAAATATAATTTACAAGGAACAGAACCCCCCGCCATTAATTAACGTGTGTATATTGTTCCTGATTCTATGGGAAGTGATCTTTACAGCACCATTAGAAACAGAAAGACTCATCCAACTTTGCACTAACGCTTTCATGGGGCTCCTTTCTGTATTTAAAACTCATCCAAATATAATGGTATCACCAYTACACAAGTATGGGCTTTACTTACTAATTAAACTAAGAAAAAAACTAGCTAGGAACAAAGCAAGTTTTATCTTTTTGCAATGTGTGCTTCTGAGCTGTTTGGGATATTTGAGAACCATCCAAACTTGGGAAAAGATTAATTCATCTTCTGATCCTYCTGCATTTCTAAACAATGCCTTTAAACAGCAGTAAACATGGTATAATATACAGAGAATATCCCTGCCATGAAAAATATTATTCCAGGTTCTCTTRTWCTCATGTAACTCTTAGATGAGTTAAATGAGAAAAAAGAGGAGAATTTTGTGCTGCAAAATATGAGGGACATTTCCTGATGTTGCTGTCTACCTAAAATTAAATTTAAGTTTCTGGATTGGATGRTTAGTGTAAAATAGTTGAACTGGAACACAGAACTGCTCATCTCAGGGTTGTTAATGCTGCTGCACATTTGAGAGAAGATGGAAAAATGGACTGGAGATTATGTAAGAAACAAGTATCAGTACTTACCAATGTATTCGTCTTGATCCACAAAACCATCCTCATTTTTGTCTATGTCTTCTAAGGTTTCCTGGAAAATAATTTTGCATGGAAATAATCAGAAAACTGAAAGTTATGCCTACTGGCTTTTGATCATTTAATGTTCTGAGGCCTGTACATAAGTGAATGAAGTCTCATTAAGTCCAGAGGGACTATTATTTATACTTTGAATACAAATAAACAAATATCCTTTCATATTGAAAAAAAATCCCTGTATGATGAACTGCTTAAGTTAAGTGCAGATACAAGCCTGCATGAAACACTCAGCTGCTACAGGTCAGCACACCCTTTTTTTATTTTGGTTTAAGTCGATGCCTCAAGATTGTTTCTTGATTCCATTTAGGAGCTGTCTAAGTGCACTTAACAAGTCTCTCTTGTACTGAGAGTTCTAAACCCAGTGAATATAATGAGAAGCATCCCCTTCTATTCCCTATTTAGCTATTATATGTGTGGTGCTTTCTAAACCCTGCCTGGAAAGGTTAGAGAAGACTTTAAAGTTCATCCATGAACATTGGAGCAATGGCATTGATTTTGCTTTGCTTACTAAAACGACGATATTTTTCATGTGCTCAAACTCCTCTGGGTGAAGGAAAGCAGTGAATTCTTCACGAGTGGCAGCCAAGTCTCCATCCAGATCTGCAGCTTTGAATCGTCTTTCATCTCTGGGTAGCATTTTCTTAAAACTGTGCTGATCGGTTGCATCTTGAAATTCTTCTGGATTTTCTACAAATGAATCAAGATAATCTCAGAAGTGTTTTCCTTTAAAACATATTATCAAAACAAAGCTGTTTGAGTCTAAAAATACAAAGCTTTGCTGCCAGAATAGCTGCTGCTCTAAATGGAACGTCTCTTTCCTGTGAAGTTTTGAAGTCAAGGGTCAAATAATTGGTTTGATTTTTAAAGGTGACAGTAGTAGAGGTGAATTTCTAAGCAGCCTTCTGTTGCAATCCAGAACAATGGATTTTGTAGTATTCTGTATTACCCGACAGATTTTTATAATCTGCCTTTACAAGTATCACTTAGGCACTGTTTGGGGTAGACTTCATTCACAAAAGTTTTCTTC